GGTTAGCACTGCTGCCTCCCAGCAAGAAGGTTATTGGTTCAATTCTACTCTTTAAATAATTTAACGAGGAGTGGAGGATCAAACGTCCCTTTCACTTTCCTGCCAAATGTAAAGGGGTCGTATTTTCCCTGATCGTTTTCACTTTTTTTCCAAACCTCAGTGTTCTTCTTCATCTTTTTAACATCTGCTCAACAAGTTTTGGGGATATCAGTGGATTATTTCAGTCACCAAGGAATTAAAAATCCCAGAGCCATTTTTTTTTCCATTTATGCTCAGTGAGCAGCTTTCACCGGAAACAACAAGGTGCCATCTTGAAACACATTATTCAGATTTCATAATATATTCGTGGCTGTCATGCCCAAGGCCTTCTTCACAGACGAATAACTGCCAGAGACCATTGTTGTATTAAACTTAAACACAGAATAGGATTGACAGTCTTCAATGGGCTTTCAGATTTCCTACTTCTTTCCTGTCCCACTATCAGAGCTCTGCTAGTTCTGCTCCGTATGTGCAACCTGATGATAAACTCTTAAACTGGAACAGTGGAACACATTGGTGTTTGATTTTGTCTGCTGTGTGGGTCGCGGGTGATTCAAACCCTCGGGCACTCGGTGTGTTTCAACCTTAAAAAAAGCGTCCTAAACACACTGAGCTCTGATGTAGTTTCACTCTCTACTGTACAAATTCAAAACAAACAAACAGAATTATGGATGCACAGCCACATTAGATCCAGGTGTGCAGAAAATACTTCTTCTTAGATTTTTCTCCTGTTTGTTGACAATGAATTTTATGACAGGTCGTACATTAAAGGAAGAAAATAGAGCATAAAACATGAAACAGCAGCTTAAGTGCTCCTTGACATTAATCTTTCTCTTGCCTGTGGATCTCTGGAAGGATGAATAAAACACAGAAGTTCCCTGATTTGATGTTTTTGTGCTGGTGCGAAATCTTCAGGTGTTCAGCTGGATTAAGATTTGGTGACTCTCAGTGTCACAAGATGTGTGAATCACTTTTCTGGTCACTGAACCCCTCAGTAACCCCGAGTGCATCGTCAGCTGCACGAAACCATCAGGACAGAAGGCTTTCACTGGAAGGTGATCATCCAGAAGCAGTTTGTATTGATTTGCAGTGATGCTGCCCTCCAAGGTCACTGTGAGGGTTCACACCTTCTTTTGTTGTTTTCTGTATTAAAATGATTTTAGTGGGAAAAAGCCGTATGACTCTAAAACAGATTTGCCGTTACCTCGCACTGATGCGGTCCGCGTGCAGTTGTACAGAATGGCTAACTCCCCAAACGCAGTCCACACCGTTATCGATGTGATCAGTTTGTTATGCTGAAACACATCCAGCTTCCCATCTGCAAATATGAAACAAGGACAATCAATAGGTTACATTTTTAAACCCCAAATTTCGGACACAGACGATGAACATATCAGGAGCTAACCGAGTGAATTTACATCTCACTTCATTCATTAAGGTCACGGTAACATCGTCTGGGTGAAGCTTCATTAGGTTTGTGTGCTTTTCAGGATTTCACCTGGCAGACGTGCCTCTTTAATACGCTGGTTCTCAACATTTCCATTAAATTTCTAAATCTGCATATGAGACCGGAAACCCCACAAATGTCCCTTCTGTCTCATCTCCACTATAATAGAAATTGAAGAGCTCTTTAGTCATTATAATTAGCAGCTGCTGATGTCTGCGTGAGGATTTAAAACCTCTGATGATGAATAATTATTCATCAGAGCTGTTTTGGTAACTCTTCACAGCACAAAACAAACGCTGTGTCGGTTTAGCTCAGGTGCTGAAACGTCAGAGCTCAGCAGATCAACAAACAAGGACTCTGTAATCACTGCGGCTTCCTGCCCAGGATGAGACATCGCTTTAACACCAGACGGCAGAAGAAATACTTACTTTGTCTCTGACGAGCAAATGTCAGTTACTGGCAGAGGACAGACCATTGCTCTGAGGTCAGGTGGTCTTTTAAAAAAACACTTAGTTGCCTGGTTACAACCAAATATAAAGTGAATTTATTAATACATGAATACATCTAAATGAATAAGAAAGAAAAGATGAGGGGAAGGCGGGTAACTGTGAATGTATTAAAATTTCCTTCCAAAATGAACTTTTTCTCTCTCCTGCCATAAATACATCACACCAGCTAAATTAATTCACTTCACTTCAGTTTTATTTATATATCAACAAATCTCAGCAGCAGTTGCCTCGAGGTGCGTTATATTGAAAGGTAGAGACCCAAAACCCCAACAATTACATGACCTCCTCTGAGCAAGCACTTGGCAAACGTGGGAAGGAAGAACTCCCTTTTAACAGGAAGAAACCTCCAAGTGAACCTGGCTCAGGAAGGGGCGGGGCCATCTGCCACATGTCGTCTGTTACACGTCGGTTACTTTTAAACTTGTATACATTTGTATCTACTTTCAATCTGTGCCTAACAGTCCAACCAATCAGACCCCTGCTGTTGTTTTACTTTGATCTTATTGGCTCATTCTCAGACTGGCTGTAGCCAATGAAAGCAAAGATCTCACATAGACCAGAAATGGTCTTCTCAGAATGACACGCACAGCAGTCACTGCTCAGTTCCAATGAAGCCGCAGTCTGAAAGCAAAGCACCAGGTTCGTTTACGATTTTGTAGCCAGACTGGACTGTTTGAAACATTTCTACGAGCAAAACAACAAATGCCCTTCCTGGCTGTCGTATAATCACATAGTAAAAGAATGGGATTGCACCGATGATCAAATTCGTGGCTGACGCTGATGATTTAGAGAAAAATTTACCAGAAGCCGGTGCAGTTATTTATTTATTTATTTTCATTCCTCGCCTCTTTTAAAGGGAAACAGAGAAATTTTCATTAAATAAATGAAGTCTTTTCTTTGAGCAATTAAACTGATGAAAATTAGCCACATTTACTGACATCATATTTGCCGTTATGCCATCGACAGCCAACGAGATTTTGGCCTGTAGCGCTGAACTGATAAATCAGTGCATCCCTCCGTATTCTTCACTCAAGAAAGTACGAGAAATACAAACCCTAAACCCCCCTAACCCTTTTGTTTCAACACACTCATCGGGTGGTGTTTTATAAAACCCAAGCCTTGTTGCACTTTGGACATCTCACCAACCTCGACTACACCGAGGCCAAATTCATGACCTCTGAGTTCTGTAATCGCTGCCTGTTCCCAACGAGAAAACACATTTCTCTCCTTTATTAACACGAGTGAGAACAAATGTAAGCAGAAGACTCCCGAGTGGGATCCGCTGTCTGCACTTGTGTTAAATGTTCCGCAAATCCATTTATTTCTGTGTTATTCTTTGGAGACGTGAAAAAGCTTTTTACTGGTTTCTCTTCAGTTCCTAAGAGAAACCACATGTAATCAACACTAAGTGAATGCATTTCAGGTTAGAAAAACACTGACAAAGAGCAGCAAAATAACTGGGAAAGAAATTCCCAGAATCAGCCCCAACAAAAGCAAAACAAATGTCAGAAGAAATGGTGGCGTGTTTCCCAAGGAGGATGCACAATGTCCCTCGTGCAGGTGCCTTTCATTTCCCTGTCTGGAAGGGCATCCAGCACATGTGTATGTGGCCACTGTGGCGCCTGCATGTGAATAAGAGCAGCTTAAAGTAGCTTCTAATTGGCTGATCAAACTTTCTGCCGTTTATCGTTTGTGCATGTGTGAAATCTGTACATTAAAAGTCAAATTGCGGCTCATTGTAACTTTCAAAAGTAGCCCTCCATATATCCATTTTCATGACATCTGAGTCTTTAACAAAAACAAAGCACAGATGGAGCAGCTGTGCCACACAACACAGTTAATTGACATCCCTTTAAAAAGCCTCGACTCCTGTTTCTCTCTCTCCTCCTCCGCTTGCATCACTGGTGGGAGGGACTAAGCTGTGAGGCGAGGAATCAAGGATTTAATCAAGTGAGAAACAAGAAATGTCCTTTAATCCAAAAGCCTTATCAAAGCCAGGCCTTCTAGCAAGGGCACGTTCAAACCTGAAAATGATGCTGTGAACATTTCTCCTCAAAAGGATGCGATAACGGGCAACAGGACAACCTCCAAAGTTATTTGCTACCTCACCACAGCGTCTTGTATATTCACCCTGTTGTGTTTGAAAAGCATGCATACAGTGAGTGAGCTTCTCTTGGTGCAAAACTTGACCTAACAGGTTGATGATAAACTTGAATGCAGCCCAGCTGGTGATGCAAACTGTTGCTTCCTCATAGCACATGGCTTCACACGTTGCTCTGGCTTCTCATTGGACATTATGTGTCATATGACATCTTACACAAACGCCGGTGCCACAAGAATAAGCGTGCAACGGTAAACTGAAGGAAGTTTATTTTTCCTTTCAAACTTAACTCCGAACTAAGAAGACGACAGGAAGCGAAAGTACCTGCCAGGACAAACAGATGGTTCCCAGGCTCTCCCTGCTTGATGACGTACTCTCCCTGCTGGTAAGTGTGCTCATACATGCACTCCACCATGTCTTTGATCTGCTGCAGCTCCAGCCTCTTCAGGTATTGGTTCTTGTTGAGGGCATCTGTCAGCAGCTTCTTTACACTGTCACAGACAGCAACAGGAGAGAAGTTAGAGAACCGAGCTTTACCGAGTGTTGCTGTTTGAAGATTAGAAAGCACAGCCTGTGTTCCCTGTAAGATATGAAAGGGTGAAGATAATTACAGGAGCAGTTACAGGCCCGCTGCTTCACTCGGAAACGTTTGCGTTTGTGTTTTTGTTCTTCTTTTAGGAGATGAGAGATTCAGGAGTGAAAGTAGTGGAACCAAACTATAGTCATCTTTCAACTGCTTTTATTCCTGCACTTTATTTTGAATTAAGTAAATACTGCACAGGAGAAAAGCAAAGACTGAGAGAAGAAACTTTTACTTATCAGTGGAGAGATGACTTCCTTTCTTGGTTTTCACGTTTTCCTTTCTCCCCTTTCCATCTGTGTCTGTTTCATCCCACAAATTATGCTTTAAACACTGAAAACCATAAAAGTCACCTCTTATATATTTAACCAATGTGATCTTTTGTTTTCATGGACAGTTATTTGGAGTCTGATATACATTTAAATGCTGTAAAAAGATTCTGCTGTGAGAGTAGTTTTCCTCTGAGGGACCGCTCACCCCAGCATCAAAGATGTTGGTGTTTTCAGTGCGGTTCAGTGCTTTCTGGCTTACGCAGCCAATGTAACTTAGTTACAATGTAACTTATGTAACTCAGTTCTTTGGAAAATAATTCGGATTAACATCAAAAAGAAATGATTAGAATATTAGCAGAAATTCTGTTATTTTATTTTTGCACTTTTACATTTTCATAACTCTTAACATAGTGACAAGCGCCTAAAACTGTTTCCCAGCCTTATATGAAATTTGTACACAAGTTAAATTCACTCACAGGTTGGAATTATTTCTTTAAAATCTGCGTTGCCATCGTTCTTTACTATGAGCTTAATCTCATAAAATGTTTCTAATTTTATAGTTTGATCTTTGTTTTTAAAATATGCCGTCCACATTTCTGACTGGTCACATGGTGCAAACCCACTCTTCATCAGACAGTTATGCAAAAAGTCCCCATATAAACAAACACAAACCAAGGGAAAAACAACATAAATGAAACATAGAAAAGGCATAAGAATAAATAACAAATAATAAAGATTTATTTATTTTCATTTTTTAGGCACATGATATTAATGAAAAACTCATATACGTATTAGAGGCTGTTATTCTATGAATTGGTGCCACGCTGTGTCTGTTTTGACTGGACATCCTCTCCGTGCATGTTATTACCCATATGGAAAAGAAATAGTAAAAACATGTATGGTTTACTCATGAAAGTGGCCACTTTCTCATTACTTTCATATATTTTGTTAGTAAGTATCCAAAACATACAAGTTTCATTATATAATTTTTCAAGGGATCTTATATGTGTTTTCACTCTTATATGCTTTTCATACAAGTTTCATACAAGACCGATAAAAACTTTATAAGATTATATATATATATAAGATTTATATATATCTTTTCCATATGGGTATCTGAAGAGCAGATGTGCTTAAAACATTACAGCTTTCTTGATGCAATAAACTGAAATTAGACTTTCTTTCTTTCTTGCATATGCTGCAAACATCACCCGAGAGAACGTGCTCAAGTCTAGATTGGAAATCCCTGGATTGACTTGAGTTGAAAACCACCTTTGTGTGGCTCTTAGCCTGATTGATGATGTGAGGGTAAGTGCAGTCAGATAAGGAAAAGACTCTTGTAGTTATGCAAAAACCTTGTTGTGATCACTTTAACGTAGGAATTATTTTCTTTCCGTCCTCATGCTTGTGCCAGCTGATTCCTGTTGTTGATCTACAGCTGGCACAAGCATGAACTTCCTGTCTGCGGTGATGGGTGCTTCTGTCTGCACAGCGACATGTGTGGAAAGAAAATAGTTATTGATGAAACCGACCCAAAGATTGCAAACTAGCTCTGCCAGACAACTCGAGTCGCCACGTACTCATCACTCTCCGGTTCATATGTGTATCATGTTTGTAGAGAAGGTAAGATGCCAAACTCTGACTGCATCGTTCTGCGATTATAAATCATCTCAAGTGACATCTGACTAAACAAAGTTTGTGGATTTTTATTGTCATAATGTAACCAGGTCTTAATTTCTCTGCAGCCTCTCCACACCCAAGTGACTTGGACAGATAACCAGCAGGATGGGGTCACTTTAAGTGAGCTGCTTTACTCGCTCTGCTGAAGTTTCCTTCTCCCACCACTGATTACACTTACACGGTGAGTTACTGATCCGTCAGGCAGGACTCCCACATCCACATTACTCACCACATTTTAAATATTTTGTCTCCTGTGAAATGATGAGTATTCGCAGCCCCGGGGCTCCCTCCTGAAAACAGATCGAGTAAAATTGGGGAAAACGTAAAATCATCACGAGCTGCCAAAGTTCACCGACGTGCATTTGAACAGCTGCAGCGAGGGGATGTATACGGCGAAGACATCATCTCCTTTGGGGAGCTGTGAAAAGGTTAGGAGGCACGGTTGAATGCTAACTATAGATCACGAGAGCGAGCCGGGGCTCGGAGAGCCGGGTGGTCTGTTTATCCACCTTATCGTGTGTGATGAATTATCACTCTGGGCTTCGTAAAAAGAAAGCAGCTGACACGCAGCCCTTTATTTTTCAGCCAACATCCCTTCCTCCCACCTAGCTGTGTCATTACCCTCCAACATGTTACCGTCATTCACACAAGTGTTGCGTATCAAAGCCTGCCTACATGAGGGTACCAGACGGCCTCATTTACATTCGTTTTGGTTATATAATCCATGCCGGGCTTATTAGCGACACATGTTTTAAACATGAGGATCGCATTGAGAGGGAGGGAGACTCTGCGTGCTATTGTTTATTCGCTGCAGAGCTCTACGTTCGGCTTGTACGATCTGAGGAACGCTCACGATGACAAAAATCAATTTTACTTTCATGCTGGAAATCTAACAACACTTCATGTGTTCATTAAAAGACCTTTTAAGTTGTTTTGCTTGTGCCTGAGCTACTTATGTGTGCAGTAAATGATGGCACATGAGGGGGGGGGTGAGGTGCGTCCCACGTTTTAGTTGTTGGTCTCAGTTGGGTTTGATCACAAAGCATCTCTGTACACTCTTCCAGACCACCGAAACAAATGCAAAACACGACTCAATCGCTCGGAAATTGCTGCATTTGCTCTTATTTAAACCGCTTAAGAACAAAAGCGGCCGAACGCCAAATCAGAGGAGCCGAGGAAACATGGGTGGCATCTGTTACGTGGTCAGTGAAATGAAAGAGAAACGATCATATTGATGATGCATGAAGTATGTGGATTGACTGCTGTTGATCCAAATGAGATCAGCGCCACTGAAGATGACATCATTACGTTTAACCTGAAGCACAGACTTGGTGTCTAAGAATAAACGGCACTACAAAGATGATAAAGCTATTTTTAAGGCAAAGGTATTATTTGAAGATTGATAAAGCTGCTTCATCTGAAACATCTGCCTCTGTTTCTCATTTCCACAGAAATCTCAACAGACAGCACGCTGATGGAAACAAAGTTTCATAGTTGTGGGGAATTGTCTCACATGGGCTTTTTGGAGCCTTTGATATCAGATTATTGTGCTACATTCACTCTTATCAAGTGTAAAATTGAATAAAATGGGCAGGAAGTCTTAAAGAGTTTGATAGAAATGCCCTCTGAGGTCCACATCAGTCATCTGCAGTGAGCTTAGCTAACAGTCTGAAAATAGAGCATAAGTTATGGAAAGCTCAACTAGAGCACACTTATCACGTTTATCGTGCTTGTTTACAGTCCACTGCAGTCTGCACGCTCAGCCAATGAGCAGCTCTCATACATAAAAGTGTTATCGACCTTCAAGTGCATTTCTAAACCTAATGATTATAAAGGCACCGCTTCCTTCCTGAGGAAGGTGGCGTCCAAATGTTTATCTGGCTTCTTCATATTGCGCGTGTGTATCTGTGCATCCATATATAAACTAGCTCATTCATTTTTCATATGAACGTATAAATAATGGACAACCAAAGCAATGTTAAAGGCAACTTTAAAAAAATGCTTTTATCAAAGTTCAAAATGACCTTTAAACAGATTTATAAGAAAAAAGCTAAAGACTGTTGGGTGGCAGCCAGTCAGGATTAAAGCTGCTGCACCGAAGCAGAGCTGCGCAGCTGTGCAGCAGGTTTGATTTAGGAGGTTTTAGATTGGTGGCTTCATTTATAAAACATAATCATGATGAATTTTTGTGTGACTGAAGCAGAAAGTCATGTTTGTATAACTCCGAACTTTGAAGTGGGTGAAAATCTTTTCCACAGTGTCCGTCTGCTCTCCCTCCCACAGCAGTGATGATCGAGCTTCAGTTCACCTCGGTGTGGGTAACTAACTGCTGGTCACTGGTTTGGATTTGCCAACCCGCCATTCAGTCCCTCAACATGTGCTGCATGGTCATGCCTAATGACTGTCTGCTGATATTCAGGTTTCAGACAAGTTTTTCTAACACAAAGGTTTGGGGATTTTGGACACACTGAGATTGCTGTCTCACTGCTCTCTGACAATTTTTTTTAATTTTTAAAAAAGTTCCTAGTGAAAAATAAATTGGGCTCTTTCACTGTTGGGATGAGCCACACCTCCCTCTGTGCTGTTCAGTGAGCAGCAGCATCCACATCACATCACTGTGATAGAGGCAGCGTCCTCTCTGAGTGATCACAGCACTATTGATAAACTTGTGCAGTCTGATTTTATCAGACAACAAAATACGAGTGAAGCTTTGACTAATCAGCGTGGATTACCAAAGAATCTCAAAAGCTCAAAACTGGTATTCAGGAGAGCGGTACATCACGGCCCACGGTTCCTCCTGACTGTTTTCTGGCATTTTATGAGTGGCTTCTACAAGACAGGCACCATCAGTTTAGGTTGATTTGAGATTTATACATGGCAGATGTGAAGTTCAAACATAAATCGAAGAAAGTTTTCGAAATTGGGCTCCTGCTGTGTGTGTAGCAAAATCACACTGTGGCTTTAAATCCAACATGCTGTACTTTGGCAGTTTAACCAAAGACTGCAGATAAAAAACGGAGATACCTACTGTTACATCATTAGTTTGTGAAGACCCTCAGCAACTGAGTGAGGAATACTGACACTGCAGGTTCACACAGGACTTCTTATCAACGCGTGACCTGCTTTAACAGCCTTTGTTCTACTAAAGGATCCACTAAGGAAAACTTAAAACTGCCAATTGAGACAATAAACGTAATGTTTTCCGTCTCCTATACATGGGGCCTTTTTTGGCAGTGAAGTTGCCCCCTACTGGTCGTTGGAGGTTATATCTCCAGCAACAGTTGTAGTGTGAAGATCAGCGATTGCACGACCGGCGCGTTTCAGCTTGCGGCCTTCATCGGGGTCATCGGGGTGATAAAGCTATAATGATTTTCTATTTACTCTAAATGTTGTAGTTTTAACCTCTTCAGACTTTTTGTTCTTCTGCTCTGCCCCTACTGGCCATTACAAGAATTGCACGTTTAGGTCATTTCAACAGTAGCTTTTCTTTTCAGACCTGGAAGCTACAATAACATTAAAGGCCCTGCTTGTGCTGATTTCTCTGCCTGCTTCCAGCCACTAGAGGGCAGACAGGTCAACTATGACTGATTGGCCAAATTAATCTTCTTGTTTTGGGTGTCAACGTTCAGTTGAGACATTTTTACAAATCATCATCTTACTCTTTGAGAGAAAGAGAAAAGGACGATTTGCCTCATTGACTTACTTTTTTTTATTATGTCAAGCTAACATGCCCTTTAAATGTCCTTCTGCTTTTAGAGACTTGATCCCCTGAAACATTCTTAGTTCAGCTGACTGTACTAACTTGATATACCTAAAGTAAAGGTCAATAAAATAAGAAGACAAATTCAATTTGAAATGACAGGAAGGACGGAGCCCTGAGTTTACATCATAGCTACACTACATAGCAAGATATAAATGCACTTTTATATGTTCAACATCTCCAAAACCAACGTTAATGTGCTGCTGTAACAGCCTCAGCTCTTCTGGTTTCAGGATTTCTATCAGGTTTTATGCCCGTGACCACTAATGAGGCTAAATACTGGTGCTGGGTGCTAAATGCCTGTGGCTCATCCCAAAGGTGCTGGATTGGGTTGTGGTGAGGGTTCCTCCACGCCAAACTGCTGAAAGCGTTTCCTTACGGGCCTGTCTCTGTTTCATCGTGTTGAAACAGAAGGAAAGGCATAAACAGCGTACTGTGCAGTGCGATACACAGCGGGACATTTTTTAATTCGACACTCTGACTTTGACTCTATGGTGTGGGTCACTTCTTTTTGAACCCGTGAAAAGCAGAAAACCTCATTAAGACAGTTTTTTTTTCTCAGCAGCAGCTTTGAAATCTTGGACTGAATCATGTTGTTTTTCTAACAGACTTTTGTTGCACGTCATTAGCGCTAAAATCTTTGCTTCTTTGCCCACCTTTCACTTGCCACCCACACCTCTTTACGCTGCTTGCATTTTTAAAATCTCACCCACTACACCAGGATGGACTGAGCCTGAATGTGTCATGAACCTTTAGCTGGCTTCTCTCGCCAGCATGTTTTTAACCTTCCTGCAAACACGGCTCACCTTGCATCCTTTGGTACCCGAGCCTTCTCAAAGGAGAACTTTGGCAGACCGCTGGAGTCGTAGGTTCTTGATGTGGGTTCGGCAGATACCCCAGCTTTGGCGCCTTTCCTTCTGTTCAGGGTTTCCTTGATGCGAATGCTGAGGTTGGGGCTGCCCCTGCTGCTGGCTTTGACTGAAGGAGGCCTCGAAGCGAGACCCGCCGATGCTCCGCTCTTCATCACGTCCTGCAGTTTGTTGAGCTGGATGCACTTACTCTGCAGCTCCTCGCTCATCTCGGCCAGCACTCGCGTGTGTTTGGCCAGCTGCTCCTGGAGACCTTTGATCTGCTGCTCTTTGACACAAAGCTCCTCATCCTTCCTCTTGCCCTCTCGCTCCAGCTCCTCCACCCGGGCCCTCAGGAAATCCAGGGTCGAGTTTTTGAACCCACCGCCGTGATCTTTGTGCGCGCAGCCGTCAGTGTGTTTGTAGCGCTTTGATTTCATCGAACCGTTCCCCATGTTGGCACCTAGAGACAAAAGAGAGTCAAAGTTTGCTGTTACGATTTAAAAGCATCCTCCAACTGCACGATGAAATTTGGCACTAAAAGGGTCCGTCTGAGGACGCTAGAGGTGAGATTTCAAACAAAAGCGCTGACGCCGCGAGAGCAGAGAACACGAGAAAGACGGGAAGGGAGGAGAGAGAGACGGCAAATCAGTATTTAATGGTCAATCAGTGTGTCCTGTCCATTTATTATTCAGAAGGCAGGAAGTATTACATTACATGAAGAGTCACTCTGGTTGTGCTCAGACAGAAGCACGGTGAGAGGAAATGCTGTCCGGGGAGCTCATGAGTGCAGAAATCAACAGAACGACTCCAGAGAGTGAAGAGCTGACACGGGGCAGAAATGTTGGAGAACAATCCTGTTTTTGTTGTCGCCCCCTCACACATACAGTAGACTTCATTCATGACATTCCTGCTGGGACGGTGTCACATCAGTCTGCAGCACTCCTGCACTTTATTCTGAAAATCAAACATACTGCTGTCATTTGTAATCCTGTTTTGAAACCACCCCCGTTTATTCCCTTACTTTGGTGCTTCAACTCTTCCACACACTGACTACCAAGCAGCAGTGTGACAGTGCAGACTCAGAGCAGAGGCAGCGCCGTGCTGTCTTTCACCGATTTGACACATTAAAGGTTGATTCTCGCCAGTTTAACTAATTAAACCTTCCAAGGGGAGCGCGCACCTGCAACTTGCAATGCCTAGTCATTGTCCTGCTGGGAGTGAAGCCTGAATGTGCGCGGTCTCAGACAAACACTCACCTGCTTAGTTTTCAGAGCCTTCAGAAGAGCCCGGAGGTTTTTCGGAGTTAAATGAAGGAACAACGTGTCCGTGGATCCGCGCATCAGCAGAGAGGCGCTCCACCTGCTCGCATCCTCTCCTCCCTCCGTCTCTCTCTCTCTCTCTCTCTCTTTCATCACAGTCTGTGCGGCGCGTTCTCGCACGCGCGTGCGGCGACCGGGTGTGATTGCCAGGTCAGGTGTGAATGACGTCAACCGCGACGTTGTCGTTTCTACACCGAATATATTGATTACTTGATGTGCGTCGCTGACCCCGATCAATTAAAAAAAAACAACTGTGATTTTCTAATTTTATATTTAAGTTATTCATCTGGGCAAAAAGCAACAACTTTAATGCGTGATCATTTTTATTTATCAGAAAGTTTTAATTAAAGTGATTAAATAAATTGATTCATTAAATTGTAAATTCCTTAAACTTACGGAAGGCCGATCAAAAAGAGTTTGGTGAAGAAGTGAAAACACTACATGTACTATGTGTAGCCCTGAGAGTCAACCAACCTTCATTTCAACACATTACATGTGTGTACTTTGTTGTCACCATGAAACATGAAATGCTCCAAATTTATTTTGAAAACATAACAGTAGATTGAACAAATGCCAAAAGATTCGCCCTGATGGAAGCATCTGGAATTCAACAAGTAAAGGATGCGGAGGGTCCAAAAGGATGCTCAGTGCTCCTGCAACACGTTCTCACTCCCAAAGCGTAACATTTTACGCTAGGTGACAAATCGTCAACATATTACGTTTTCGGCTACCCACCACGTTCCTAAACCTCGGAAAACTGAGGAAATATGAGAACCGTATGGACTCAATCTACACATGTTCGCCCTTTTTCTTCT